ACCCTAAGGGCAGAGGCAAAGCCCTAATTAACATATCAATTAATTTACAATATTCCTTTTAGTATTTTCTGTTTATTTTTGTCGATTTGAATAGAAATATATATCAGATTTGGGCTCAGATGTCAAATCTTCAGACTTTCTTTGACTGTCCTGTTTAAATAGGTTGCTTCCTTTTCTCTATTATTGCATACTAGTTATATAGCACTTAATAAATATTCAGTTATAAATATATATATATATAATTTTGGTTTTCTTTATGGACTGCATCTTCCACAAATTTTAAATTTCACAAGGCAGAGATCTTGTCTATTTTATTTGCTAATCTAAACTCAGAGCTTGATGATATGGATATGATACGGATATAAATAGCCCCAATTATGGTGTAGGCACCAAGTAAATATTTGTGGAAAGAAATGATTGGAAAGAAGATAGTAAATTTACATATAAAGGACATTTTTAAAAATCAGTTTTTACCTTCAAGTTATTTAAAATTCAGTCCTCTTAATTTTATGTTCTTTTTTGATCTAGTGCTTAAAATTTCTTCCTTTTTCATCTGGGTAACTGTTTTACAACTGGTAACTGTTTTAAAGTTTCTGACATTTTTAACATTTGTTTATCTTTCATAGGAGGTTGCCTCTAACTTTCTGTTTTATTCTTTGGGCCATTAGAAAGAAATTTCTATGATTTATTACTAAAAGTATCTTTTCACTCAGATTTCTATTTCACATATTTGTTCTTTGCAGTATTACTGAACACAACAGCTATAGCATATTGAAAAGTGATGTATTATTTTATATATTGATTTTACTTGAAAGTTTCCCTGAAATTGTATGACTTTGTTACAGTTTCCTGACTGCCGTGACATTTGGCAAAGAATTATTTCTTTTCCAGTTGGACTTTATAAATCATTGATTTAGAGTAAAGATTGGAATTTATTACTGTCATTTCATCTAATTTATACACTACTGGTAAAATTGATTCTTAAGCCAAGTGTATATGTTGATGAATTGTTACGTGTGTATGACCCTATGCTGATGAATTGGTGTCAGTATGAGTGACTTACTTGAACCTGCTTTTATGCTTCTTAAACTTTTCCTTATACATCCCTAAGAGAAGCTGCTTGACCCATAGTTCTGTATGCACAATCTGAAATACTTTTTTTTTTTACATTTAACTTTTTTCTATCTCTTAGTTTTTGTTTTCGATTATTTATTTATTTATTTTTTGGAATTCACATAACATACAACTCACCTTTTTAAAGCCAGAGTTCTGTAGGCATCATCTTAATCAATTTCTGAAAGATTTTCATCACCTCAAAGAGAAATTTCTGCACCCCTTAGCCATTACCCATTAATACTGCTCTCCCTCCAGCCCTAGACAACCACTAATCTACTTTCTGTCTCTATAGGTATTTTTAAAATACTGGACATTTTACATAAGTGCAGTTATAAAATGTGTGGTCCTTTGTGACTGGCTTCTTTCGCTTAGCACAGTGTTTTCAAGGTTCATCCATGTTGCAGTATGTATTAATAAATCCTTTAGTTTTAATTTAAAAAATTTAATTTTACCTAACCCTGAAGAAGACTTAATTTCTCCGGGGGCTGGGGGGATACTCTTTCTTCTTTTGCTACGTATGTCGACTCTTTTTCCGACCTGTCCCAATCATTATCACTCACACACCCTAAGAATATACATATCTCATTTATAGATTCACAGATATGTTCTCAGAATTGGAGGACAATGTTACCTTTTTTTTTTAACATCGTTATTGGAGTATAACTGCTTTACAATGGTGTGTTAGTTTGTGCTTTATAACGAAGTGAATCAGTTATACATATACATATGTCCCCATATCTCTTCCCTCTTGCGTCTCCCTCCCTCCCACCCTCCCTATCCCACCCCTCTAGGCGGTCACAAAGCACCGAGCTGATCTCCCTGTGCTATGCGGCTGCTTCCCACTAGCTATCTGTTTTACATTTGGTAGTGTATATATGTCCATGCCACTCTCTCACTTCGCCCCAGCTTACACTTCCCCCTCCCCATGTCCTCAAGTCCACTCTCTACATCTGCGTCTTTATTCCTATCCTGCCCCTAGGTTCTTCAGAACTTTTTTTTTTTAGATTCCATATATATGTGTTAGCATACGGTATTTGTTTTTCTCTTTCTGACTTACTTCACTCTGTATGGCAGACTCTAGATCCATCCACCTCACTACAAATAACTCAGTTTCATTTTTTTTTTATCACTGAGTAATATTCCATTATATATATGTGCCACATCTTCTTTATCCATTCACCTGTTGATGGACACTTAGGTTGCTTCCATGTCCTGGCTATTGTAAAGAGAGCTGCAGTGGACATTGTGGTACATGACTCTTTTTGAATTATGGTTTTCTCAGGGTATATGCCCAGTAGTGGGATTGCTGGCTCATATGGTAGTTCTATTTGTAGGTTTTTAAGGAACCTCCATACTGTTCTCCATAGTGGCTGTATCAATTTACATTCCCACCAACAGTGCAAGAGCTTCCCTTTTCTCCACACCCTCTCTGACATTGATTGTTTGTAGATTTGTTGATGATGGCCATTCTGACCAGTGTGAGATGATATCTCATTGTAGTTTTGATTTGCATTTCTCTAATGATTAGTGATGTTGAGCATCCTTTCATGTGTCTGTTGGCGATCTGTATATCTTCTTTGGAGAAATGTCTATTTAGGTCTTCTGCCCATTTTTGGATTGGGTTGTTTGTTTTTTTTTGATATTGAGCTGCATGAGCTGCTTGTGTATGTTGGAGATTAATCCTTTGTCTGTTGCTTCATTTGCAAATATTTTCTCCCATTCTGAGGGTTGTCTTTTGGTCTTGTTTATGGTTTCCTTTGCTGTGCAAAAGCTTTGAAGTTTCATTAGGTCCCATTTTTTTATTTTTGTGGTGCTGGGAAAACTGGACAGCTACACGTAAAAGAATGAAATTAGAACACTCCCTAACACCATACACAAAGATAAACTCAAAATGGATTAAAGGCCTAAATGTAAGGCCAGACACTATCAAACTCTTAGAGGAAAACATAGGCAGAACACTCTAGGACATAAATCGCAGCAAGATCCTTTTTGACACACCTCCTAGAGAAATGGAAGTAAAAACAAAAATAGTACCTTTTAAAAAGTCTCCACAGACCTTTAAAAAAGATTTCAGGAGAAAGCATTCTTTTAATTTAAAGCAGTGAAGCCCCCAACATCTCAGAGACTTCCTGTCTTATGGCCAACATTTAAGAGTTGGGGAGAGGGAAGTAGAGGCCTGAATGGGGACAAAGGCTGGCCTGACTGTGTGTTTCTAGGCCAGTTACATGTTTACTTTCTTCAGAGGAGCCCCACAACCACTCCCTTGGTTGATACGAGGTAGGATCGCTTCTGGTATATAATGGTGACTCCAGTTACCGTCGCTTAAGTGAATCTTTTGCTAGTTGCGTCAGTTAACACTCAACATAAGGATTATGTGTAGTTTTAGATATGGATCACTTGCATTTCATAAATTTTATTATACATTAAATAATAGATCTATGTTCACATAAGCTTATTCTTCTTGGCCGCCCTCTTGGATTGCTTACTGGACAGGGAGCTGGACTTGTTCATCTGTATTCTTGTTTCCTTGGCTATAGGCAAATCACTGGCTCTCAATAAATGCTTATCAAATTGAATTTCCGGTATTACTAAACTCATTAAAGGTTATATAAACCAGACTTGATTATGTTCTCTAAAATCTTAGCCTGATGAATGGTAGGATGTGTTTGGGTTTACGTAGGGGAAGGACGGAGGGTTTTGAGCTGTGTGCTAGTTGTGTTTCCATAGTTCTTTAAGAGTTTGAAGGATATGGTCTTAATAAGTTGTCTCACTCCTACATCTTTAACAATAAAAATAGGAATTACTTTCAATTAACAGAAATTAAAGTTAAAATAGTTTTCCAAAAAGCCTCCTCTAAAACAGCTTTTTATAATTCAGTAGTTTTATAATTTCCAGTGTTAAAACAAACCAAAAAGTTAAAGCTTATCTTCCTCAAGTATTAAGTGTTTTCGCAGTCTTTATAACATAGATTGTACTAGAGTTATCGTTGATTCTTTCTAACAGTTGAGCATTTTAAGTTGTCAGTATAGTTAAAATTGGTCGGGAGTATTGGCTCTCCACTTGTATATATAATTTAGAAGTTCACAGGTTTGATAAACGTTTTTTTCTGACTGATTAAAGTACTCTTGACTTCAGTTCTCATTATCAGCTTAATAATAAAATAATAACAATAATACAGAATAATACTGCTTTTTATTACATAGCTTTATCCTGTAATGTCATAGTGTCTGAGGTATTATTTCCTCCCAAACTGCCCCCCACACACACTTTTTCTTTAAATAGGATAGGAAACTGAGGCTCAGAGAGTGACTTTCTTTAGATTATACAGGCCAGTAGCTAGAGAGGCAAATCTGGAACCTTGGTTTTATGATTCCAAGTGGAAAAATCTTTCCC